TTCGCATGCTCATTTTATTTGAGCCACCGACCTCAAGGGAATAGCTTATAGTCAGTCTGTGGATCAATAATTTTGGGAAACGCGCGGTTGTATTTTGGGTGCTGTGACAAGCAAATTGAATACGTACAAAGCACAGAAAATCAAACAGGTAACGTCAACTTATCACTTAAAGGGAAGTTTGTACGCGCAACTGAGGCTGCAACGGTGAGCTCCAGTTGGGGTCTCTGACGCGCTTGATTGGAGAAACATACTTATTGCCATATAGAGCTAAAGCGAACCGTGAACTTTTAATGGAAATTCCCACATCACAATAATCAATGACCCATGGATGCGCTCTAAGCAGTGGAAAGTACGCGTCAACGGCCATCTCGCAATCGATAACCATATTAAAAATACGGCTGCCTAAATATTCGCGAACTCGGCGCCTGGTTTGCATACCGCACCGTACCTGGCAATGATCAGGGCTTCAAACAGAGTGGAGGGGGGCACTAAGTTTAGGCCACGTCAAATGCAATGATTTCAACTGCAACCTAACCAGCAATGCACTGGTTGGTTGTTTTGCAAACAGTAAGTTGCTTATGGCTTCTGTGCACTCATATATTAATTGCCGAGTGCTTTTGATGGATGGCTGTAGCACCAAATACACTTCAACTCCACTAGAACACAAGGTTGACGAAACCTCGGGGACTGCGCCTACATGACGAGCCCCAAGAATGGCGAAAACGGTCGTGGGATGCCAGCAACCTTGTAAATAATGTATTACGTACACATCAGCTGTTTTGGTGGACATGAAACGTCAAATATTAGTAAGGAGCTTGCCGGGCGCCTTCGCTGAAGACAACCCCTTTACCCTTCAGATAAGGTGCGCCGGGTGCCAAGGGCATTCCCGGGATCACCGTAGACTCTATCCTACTGCATTCAACCCACCACCATTTACCGACGTGAAACTTCTTTGTTCCTAATACCGTGCGACTTTTAATTAGTTTTTTATCCCACTTTTTCTTATATACCACAATTTTTCTTTGCACCTGAACCCAATTTTTCGAAGACTGTTTGCCAAACCTCATGGCAAGTGCACGCGCAAATCTTTAAATATCCTGTAGGGTCTTTAAAATAAGGAGGCTTATTTCATCTCTCTATATCGATGCTTCACCTACTGCCTTGCGTGAAGAGCTTGACAACCCTTTACTATTTCTCTATTTATTGTCACACAGAAAAAAATGTGGTCATAGAGCTCGGTTACATGTAAGCTGTTGAAGTTATTACCGCCATGTGACTTCTGAAAGGAAGCCCGAAACGGACCTGAAAAGATCGCAGACCTTAGAAGTAGTTTCAAAAAACTATCCCGAGCAAACCGGACTCTCACGGGGCGAAAAAAAACCTCGCAAGCGAAAAGCATCCGCAGAAGCCACGAAGACAGGAAGCAGACAACACCGCCCCAGCGGCCCTTCTGGAGCCTTGGACTCAAACCCGGCGCACAACTATTGAGTCTGCTAACCACCCTGGTCACTCAACTTTTGGCTCCTCACCCTCGGACGCAGCAGAGACAGTGTTGAAATGCTTGTCCACAAACTGCCCCAGCCTTTTCAACAAACTCGGCAATGTTAAACAGTCAGCTTGCCTTGAACAACCGTCCATAATCGCACTAACAGTAACCTGTCTCACACCAGATGACTCTGAGGCGTAGATCTCGATAGACGTTTAATCTACTTTTCGAGCTGACTCAAAACGAGGGAGGGCTGATGAATTTGCTCTGTACTTGCATGCGGCTCTAGCAATCCCGATAGTCCTCAATGACACCACTCATGCACCCTTTTGCGATGCACTGCGGGTCCGAATCCCGCTGCGCGGGTCCAATTCTCTGTATCTCGGCGTGGTCTCCCGTGGCCCTTCGAGTCCCCCTGAAGAAGATCAGTTCCTCATACGAACCCTTGAGCAACTCTCTACCAACTATCACTCCACTCATCTCCTGCTGGTAGGTGATTTCAACGCTCCAAAAGCCTCCTGGATGCAGCTTCAGCGCGTCGAATCAAGCGGACTTTCTGCAGTGGCGCTGATTGAAGTCGTTCAACAGAGCGCTTGTACTCAACATGTCGTTGCACCCACCAGATCCCACGCAGGCCAACTACCATCCTTCCTGGACTTGGCCATCTCCAACGAAAGGTACTTCGTTGATCAGGTGACAATTAACGCTCCACGGGGGCGTAGCGACCACTATGTGCTGACCTTTGATTTCATCTGCTATTGGGCCAGAAATCCCGAACCTCAAAAGTGGTTCCGAGACTTCTGCCGTGCAAACTTCTCAGGAATGCGCATCTTTCCTTCCTGAGTCACACTGGGACCAGCTCCAGTAGAAGAAATATATAGGACCATTGTCCAGCAAGTTCACGAGACTGAAGCGACGTTCGTCCCAAGAAAACCAGCACGCACTCGGATGAATCGCGGACTGCCAGAAAGAATTCGGCGATTTCTGGGAAAAATGTATCAATTTTTCCCCCAAAAAGTTTACTTCAGGGTATACAAAAGATGAACTGGCATTTTGTAAAATAAAGAACCGCTGTAAATCAAAAATCCGCCAACGGAACATGCGAAAACAAGCCACCATTCTGGACCTCACTCGAAAAAGCAAAAACGTCTTGTTCAAATACATCGCCGCAGAAACAATCCATCCGCGTTCTCCTTGAGAGACAGAAACGCAGAACCGACGAATGACCCAACAGTGGTATCTGAGGTTTACAGAGAACACTGCGTGTCTATGCTCAGCCCCAACATCTTCATCACATCCACTCTTGTCAATGCGAAACTACGAACAGCCTCTAACCGAATTGGTCTTCACGGTGGAGGACATTTGTCAACTCTTGCACAAGATCAACCCATTCTGCACGCTGGGGCCCGACGAGGTCCATTCAAGGATCCTGAAAGAAACGTCCTCCACACTGGCAAACCATTTACACATGGTCCTTTGTCAGTCGCTTGACGAAGGCCGCCTTTCCTCTGTTTGGAAGGTAGCGATTGTCACGCCAACCTACAAAACTGGTGACCGACTATCGCCTGGCAGTTACAGGCCTATAAGCCTCACTAGCGTGCCGTGCAAGGTGATGGAACGCATTCTGAAGCGAGCTATCCTAGAACACCTTACTTCCAGCAATCTGGTATCTCCAGCCCAACACGGATTACTCCCCAACTGCTCTTGCGTGACAAGCATGCTCGTGTTTATGGACAGCTTAACCCAAGCCAAGGATGAAGGACTCATATCGGATGCCATATTTTTCGACTTCTCAAAA